GAGTTGATAAATCAAAGGTAAATTACAGCACTGCAAAAACACCAGCCCTGGCCTTACCAGCGCCCACGAGCGGTCAATTGAAAGTTCCTAATTCAATCCAGTGAAAAAATTAATGCAGTCCTTTCGAGAGAGCAGAGAGAGCAAGACCTCTTCGTATAAACATCACTCCCTCACAGTCCCGTCGGAGAACCTGCTCAAAGCTTACGAAGAAATTTTTTGCAGCACTTACGCGTCACGGTGGACGACCTCTCTCCACAACTGAAGACCTGTGCTGGAACCCAAAATCGACACCTTGTGAATATGGAGCCGAGTTAGTTCATGGCATTCCATCCCTCAACATGTCTATCTTAGAAGAAGACCTTTAAATTCAATGTTTAACCCTTTGACGACAATGGCAAACAATGGTGGGTGCCACCTTACCATTTCCTTCTCTGCGCTTCTCCATTTATTCCTTAAAAAATTTTTAACATCTCAATAATAGTTCGCAAACTTTATAATATGTTTTAAGCATGGTTTACAGTTAATTAAGATCTAATCTATAGAATCCTAGAATGTGTTTTACTCGTCACCATATTAAGTTCAGTTTTGCATTAATTGGCTAAAGATTAACACTTTGGAGACCGCGCGTGTTTTACGTTCCGCGGCCGCGCGGGACTTCGGTGAAATTTTTAGGGATCTTATCTAGCAAATTCAAAAGAAGAACCCACTGTATAATGCAGAAGAAATCTTATCGGATAAAATGGAAAAGAAAATGAATGAAAAACCTAATAATTGTTTACGAAATGCGAGCTGAAAGGTCCTATGCGGTCGGAGGACTGCAGCCCATACGTGGGCTCTAAGGTGTTAATTACTGAACAGTACTTCTTTGCCTTTTCATGACCTCCACATACAGAGGTAGGTAATTGTGTCAAAAACCGCCCTATTAAAAGAAACTTCTAGGACTTCTTTTCCCTCCTCTTTCGAATCCGAATCTACTCTCATACTTCCAATCCAAAATCGTAAATTAAATTTTATGTATTCCTAAGATCAAAAATTTGATAAACTGCCTTTGTGGACAATTTTGCCCAATGTTTAGAAAGAGTTGGGCGGTCAGAGGCTTCGTGCCACAGCTCGCTGCGTGCATCGGTGTTGCCGTTCAAGGGTTAACGTTGACGACAGCGTGACGCGGTAACGCGTCCCACTTTGCGCACCTCGTGGGACATTGGGACGCGTTACCGTCCCACCCAAGCAGAGTCAACCCTGCGTTGCGCAGTTCGCAACGGCACGTTGAGAGATCCTCAACGCACGCTGTATGGGCGGAGACACAGACGGCTCGAGCATGCGAGTGTGAATGTTCGCGCGAGAGAACGTGTCTAATCGGGCGAAACTGCGCAACGTGGCCGTTGAGAACTGCGCAACGCAGGGTTGACTCTGACCGCGCACCGTGCGGCAAAAGTTGGAGTGTGTTAGACGACAGGGGAGTGCCCTACTCACT